GGAAGATTGCGAAGCAGTCGGGGGTTTCTGCGCTCGATCGTGCTCCCTATACTCCCTCCCACCTGGAAAAACAGTCTCGGCTGCAAACGCGCACAGATGCGCGACCGACATCGCTTGAGCCGGGCCATCGTGGACGTCCTAAGCCAGTTTTGCCCCAACACGCTGAAAATCCGCGCGCATGTGTTGAAGATTGCGAAACAGTTGGGGGTTCTTGCGCTCGATCGTGCTCCCCATACTCCCTCCCACCTGGCAAAATGGTCTCGGCTGCAAACGTGCACAGATGCGCGACCGACATCGCTTGAGCCGGGCAATCCTGGACGTCATGAGCCAGTTTTACCCCAGCACGCTGAAAATCCGCGTGCATGTGTTGAAGATTGAGAAGCAGTCGGGGGTTCTTGCGCTCGATCGTGCTCCCCGTACCCCCTCCTACCTGGCAAAACAGTCTCGGCTGCAAACGCGCACAGATGCGCGGCCGACATCGCTTGAGCCGGGCCATCCTGGACGTTCTGAGCCACTTTTGCCCCAGCACGCTGAAAATCCGCGCGCATGTGTGGAAGATTGCGAAGAAGTCGGGGGTTCTTGCGCTCGATCGTGCTCCCTATACTCCCTCCCACTTGGCAAAACAGCGCTCGTTCTGAGCATTTTTCTTCCGTTCAGTCACGCGGATGTGAGCGTTTGGACCTATTACCAAGCTAGCAAGAGCGTGGGAGGGTGGCGAGCATGATCGGTCATTGGTACTGGCGAATGAACCATGCCTGCAGCATTTTCTGCACATGTGCGGATCCTTCCGCGTTTTGGGGATGAAAACGCTCGTTCCGAGCGTTTTTCTTCCGTTCGGTCACGCAGCTGTGTGCGTTTGGTCCTATTATCAGCCAGCAAGAGCGTGGGAGGGTGGCGAGCATGATCGGTCATGGGTACTGGCGACTAAATCATGCCTGCTGCATTTTCCGCACATGTGCGGATCCTTCTGCGTTTTGGGGATGAAAACGCTCGTTTCGAGCGTTTTTCTTCCGTTCCATTATGTGGATGCGTGCGTTTGGACCTATTACCAAGCCAGCAAGAGCGTGGGAGGGTGGCGAGCATGATCGGTCATTGGTACTGGCGAATTAACCATGCCTGCTGCATTTTCTGCACATGTGCAGATCCTTCCCCGTTTTGGGGATGAAAACGCTCGTTCCAAGCGGTTTTCTTCCGTTCGGTCACGCGGCCCTGTGCGTTTGGACCTATTTCCAAGCCAGCGAGATCGTGGGAGGGTGGCGAGCATGATCGGTCATTGGTACTGGCGAATGAACCATGCCTGCTGTATTTTCTGCACATGTGTGGATCCTTACGTTCCGAGCGCTTTTTCTTCTTCCGTTCGGTCATGCGGTTGTGTGCGTTTGGACCTATTACCAAGCCAGCAAGAGCATGGGAGGGTGGCGAGCATGATCGGTCATTGGTACTGGCGAATGAACCATGCCTGCTGCGTTTTCTGCACATGTGCGGATCCTTCCGCGTTTTGGGGATGAAAAGGATCGTTCCGAGCGTTTTTCTTCCGTTCGGTCACGCGGCTGTGTGTGTTTGGACCTATTACCAAGCCAGCATGGGCGTGGGAGGGTGACGAGCATGATCGGTCATTGGTCCTGGCGAATGAACCATTCGTGCTGCATTTTCTGCACATGTGCGAATCCTTCCGCGTTTTGGGGATGAAAACGCTCGTTCCGAGCATTTTTCTTCCGTTCGGTCACGCGGCTGTGTGCGTTTGGACCTATAACCAAGCCAGCAAGAGAGTGGGAGGGTGGCAAGCATGATCGGTCATTGGTACTGGCGAATGAACTGTGCCTGCTGCATTTTCTGCACATGTGCGGATCCTTCCGCGTTTTGGTGATGAAAACGCACGTTCCGAGCGTTTTTCTTCTGTTCGGTCACGCGGCTGTGTGCGTTTGGAACTATTACCAAGCCAGCAAGAGCGTGGGAGGGTGGTGAGCATGATTGGTCATTGGTATTGGCGAATGAACCATGCCTGCTGCATTTTCTGCACATATGCGGATCCTTCCGTTACGAGCGTTTTTCATCCGTTCGGTCATGCGGCTGTGTGCGTTTGGACCTATTACCAAGCCAGCAAGAGCGTGGGTGGGTGGGTCATTGGTACTGGCGAATGAACCATGCCTGCTGCATTTTTTGCACTTGTGCGGATCCTTCTGCGTTTTGGGGATGAAAACGCTCGTTCCTAACGTTCTTCTTCCGTTCGGTCACGCGGCTGTGTGTGTTTGGACCTATTACCAAGCAAGCAAGGTTTGAGGGAGGTTGACGAGCATGATCGGTCATTGGTACTGGCAAATGAACCATGCCTGCTGCATTTTTTTCACATGCGCATTCCTTTCGCGTTTCGGGATGAAAACGCTCGTTTCGAGCGTTTTTCTTCCGTTCGGTCACGCGGCTGTGTGCGTTTGGACCTATTACCAAGCCAGCAAGAGCGTGGGAGGGTGGCGAGCATGATTGGTCATTGGTACTCTGCACATGTGCGGATCCTTCCACGTTTTGGGGATGAAAACGCTCGTTTCGAGCGTTTTTCTTCCGTTTGGCCACGCCGCTATGTTCGTTTGGACCTATTACCAAGCCAGCAAGAGCGTGGGAGGGTGACGAGTGAAGGAATACTATGGAGAGCGTAGCGATAGCGAGAGAGTGATTCCACTAGGATTGTACAGTAGCGCCAGCAACTCGGTAGAGTTTCGGTAAAGCTTGTCTCCAATTGACTAAGGAAGAAACCAAGTAGCAATTGTAATAACACTATGAAGTTCATACAAACAAACACACAAGATTGATATAGGCTACGGGAAGGTTTCACAAAGTTGGTGTGGCGCTGCGAAGTAACCCAACCCCACGAAAGTGGTGTGTGGGTGAGCGAACGCGCCTCGCCAATTTCCCAACCCAACTCAGCAGGGAAGTCAATGCCAAGCACGTCGTTTCTCCCAGCACCGCTAGAAATGGCAAGACTCACATAGAACCACCCATAACTCCCAAGACAACCACGCATTTCCCAAGAAACATACCCACGACTTCCCTAAGCTAGCACCACCCCAGCAATGACTTCATTAGAGTTGACGTAGTCGCTCGTCGTCAACACGCAACCATCGTAGTCATAGGGTCGGTGCTGGGTAGCTCGTAGTCTTGGTCGTAAACCTGCCAAGTCAAGCATATCGTGAGGGCCCTTGCTGTCGTAGGGCCCTCTAACAACGAGCATGATCGGTCATTGGTACTGGCGAATGAACCGTGCCTGCTGCATTTTCTGCACATGTGCGGATCCTTCCGCGTTTTGGGGATGAAAACGCTCGTTTCGAGCGTTTTTCTTCTGTTCCATCACGCGGCTGTGTGTGTTTGGACCTATTACCAAGCCAGCAAGAGCGTGGGAGGGTGACGAGCATGATCGGTCATTGGTACTGGCGAATGAACCATGCCTGTTGCATTTCTGCACGTGTGCGGATCCTTCCGCGTTTTGGGGATGAAAACGCTCGTTCCGAGCGTTTTTCTTCCGTTCCATCGCGCGGCTGTGTGCGTTTGGACCTATTACCAAGCCAGCAAGAGCGTGGGAGCGTGGCGAGCATGATCGGTCATTGGGACTGGCGAATGAACCATGCCTGCTGCATTTTCTGCACATGTGCGGATCCTTCTGCGTTTTGGGGATGAAAACGCTTGTTTCGAGCGTTTTTCTTCCGTTCGGTCACGCGGCTGTGTGCGTTTGGACCTATTACCAAGCCAGCAAGAGAGTGGGAGGGTGGCGAGCATGATCGGTCATTGGTACTGGCGAATGAACCATGCCTGCTGCATTTTCTGCACATGTACGGATCCTTCTACGTTTTGGGGATGAAAACGCTTGTTTCGAGCGTTTTTCTTCCGTTCGGTCACGCGGCTGTGTGCGTTTGGACCTATTACCAAGCCAGCAAGAGCGTGGGAGGGTGGCGAGCATGATCGGTCACTGGTACTGGCGAATGAACCATGCCTGCTGCATTTTCTGCACACGTGCGGATCCTTCCGCGTTTTGGGGATGAAAACGCTCGTTCCGAGCGTTTTTCTTCCGTTCGGTCACGCGGCTGTGTGCGTTTGGACCTATTACCAAGCCAGCAAGAGCGTGGGAAGGTGACGAGCATGATCGGTCATTGGTACTGGCGAATGAACCTTGCCTGCTGCACTTTCTGCACATGTGCGGATCCTTCCACGTTTTGGGGATGGAAACGCTCGTTCCGAGCGCTTTTCTTCCGTTCGGTCACGCGGCTGTGTGCGTTTGGACCTATTACCAAGCCAGCAAGAGCGTGGGAGGGTGGCGAGCATGATCGGTCATTGGTACTAGCGAATGAACCGTGCCTGCTGCATTCTCTGCACATGTGCGGATCCTTCCGCGTTTTGGGGATGAAAACGCTCGTTCCGAGCGTTTTTCTTCCGTTCCGTCACGCGGCAGTGTGCATTTGGACCTATTACCAAGCCAGCAAGAGAGTGGGAGGGTGGCGAGGATGATCGCTCATTGGTACTGGCGAATGAACCATGCCTGCTGCATTTTCTGCACATGTGCGGATCCTTCCGCGTTTTGGGGATGAAAATGCACGTTCCGATCGTTTTTCTTCCGTTCGGTCATGCAGCTGTGTGCGTTTGGACTTATTACCAAGCCAGCAAGAGCGTGGGAGGGTGGCGAGCATGATCGGTCATTGGTACTGGGCTTCTTCCCTTGTGCAGTTTCATGCTTCACCCCATCTGCCTTGTCCAACTCATGCCTAAAGCAGGGTCAGGTACAGTATCCATAATCCATTGTTACCGTATGTGAAGACAAGATACTCAAGCAGGGCCGCACTTTCTGTGCGAGACTCTAGACTTCATTGCAATGTATTTGCTTCCAACCAAAGGTAGGTTGGATTGTTCTAGTGGACCGATACGGTCCTTGTTTGTACAAGTTCAAAGCAAAAAAACACAAGTTTTCTCTGCACTCTTGGCTTCCTGTGACCTACTAGTATACTTGAAAGAGATATATGTTAGGACAATTGCAGCAACGGGAGGGGAACGGTGGCTGTGCGGGATAGGCTCCTAACCAGGACCCTCCAGGCTGCCTCCGCTGCTGCAAAGAGCGCGGGGACTTGCGGGGGAAGGTAGGGCAGCAGGGGTCCCGCCACCCTGATACAGTCACGCAGGAGTGTGACTGTGGCGGGGGCGAGGGAGGGGAGGGCGACGGCACATCTGACGGCGGAAGGGAGGGCGGAGGAGAGGAAGTCGGTGGCAGCGGCCGTGTGGGTGAGCGTGTGGGCGAGCAGATGAAGCACCTGGTGTGGATTGGGGGGCAGAGGGGAGGGGAACGTGGGGGGCACAGACAAGGAGAGGAAGTTGGTGGCAGCGGCCGTATGGGTGAGCGTGTGGGCGAGCAGTGCAGCACCTGATAACGATGGAGGAGAGGGGAGGGGAGAGGGGGGGTTGGTGGCGGGGAGGGGGTAAAGGGGACACGCAGGGGGAGGAGATGGAGATGAGGACGAATGGGCTAGCGGGTGGGAGTGAAAGGAGAGGAAGAAAGCTTGATAGTGGAGGGGAGGGGGATGAGAGGAAGAGAGGGCGACTGAGAAGGAAATGGTGCAGGGAAGGACGGCTCACAGTGGGAGGCAAGCGGCAGGGCATCGGGTGCACCAGTGCGGCACACAGCATACTCGGCAACTAGAGCCACGGCATGGCTAAGGGGGCCGAGGAGAGAGGCAGGTGCACTCACATGAGAGGCGAGCGGCAGGGCATCGGGTGCATCGCTACAGCACACAGCATACTCGGCCACCAGAGCCACGGCCATGAGCTGGCGCGACATGATTGGCTGCTGCAGCAACTCCCGCACGAGTGCTGGGAGGAGCGAGCGTGTGGCTGGGGAGGCTGCAACCAGGGGAGGTACACATGTGAGCGAAAAGTCCTGCAGAAGAGGACAAAGGGACGGAGGGAACGAAATACAGAGATGCGGAGGGACAGAATTATAAGGGGAACAAGGGCATGTGGCGCATTACCAAGGACGCCTTGCGTGTGATGGGGGGACGGCTTGCATCAAACATCAACTCAGGGGCAGGAAGGTACCTGGAAGGTGAGGAGGCGGAGCAGCAGTGGGTGCTGGGCGATGAGGCGGTCCAGGAAGGAGAGGAGCATGGCCTGGCATGCTCGCACGTCCCTGCCCTGCTGCCCCGCCTGCCACCGCTGCCTCTCTAGCTCATGCCTCTTCAGGTAAAGCTTCTTCCTCCATATCCCCCTTTCCTCCTCCTTATCCCCGTTCCCCCCCTCCTCCCCTTCCTCCTCACTCTCCTCGACCTCCTGCTCGCCCTCCTCCAACGTCTCAGAAATTTCCTCCAGCCTCTCCCCCTCCTCCTCGCCCTCCTCCTGCAACTCACCACACACCTCCAAAACCATCTGAGCCACCACCCCCACCACCGCCACCACCCCATTCTCCACCTCCTCACCGCTCATCCTCTTCCCCAGCCTCGACACCACCCCTTTGCTCAGCCCCAACCCCACACCGAAACCCGAACCCGAACCTACACCAGAACCAGTCTGATTGGATCCTTTGCCTTCTTCTTCGGTTCCTGCCCTTGCCCCCCCTTTCCCTGCACCTCCCGCTCCTCTCTCCCCTTTCTCCGCTGCTCCGGCTCCCCCTCTACCCACACCAGCAGCACCAGCAGTACCAGCAGCGGCAATGCTCCCACCGTTCCCACCCTTCTCTCCATCACCATTTGTACCCCCCCCACCGTTTTCCCCGCCTGCTCCCTCTGCCAGCTCAGCAACGCACGCCCTGCGGAAATCGTCCAGCTGGCGCATCAGGATTGGCAGGAGGAGGCCGGAGAGGAGAGGAGGGGAGCGGAAGAGGAGCGGGTGGGAGGAGAGGAGGCGGAGGGGAAGAGTGAGGGCATCTAGAGGGTGGGGGGGACGGACAGGGAGGGAAGGAGAAGGTGGGAAGGGAGGAAGTTCCAGAGGAGAGAAACGAGGAGGTGAGAGAGAAGGTGGAGGTGGTGGGGAGTGAGTGGAGAGAGGGAGGGGGGGCGAGGGCGAGAGGGAGAAGGGGGATGGAGAAGAGGGAGGAGGGAAGTTCTGAGCTTGAATCGCTTCGACCACAGCTGGCATGAGAGCAAGATATCCAAGAGAGGGAATCCGACCCCACCAATGGGAGAATGCCACCTGGATAGCCCTCTGGTCCAGGATCGAGTGTGCTTGCAGCGAGTGTGACTGTAAGAGAGAAGGAAGAAGGCTGTTGATAATGACAAGCTCCGCCGCCCAATCTCCTAGGTCAAAACCTGCGTCAGCCAGGGAGGCATTGGAAAACTTTCCCCTGCCCGTGTACCTGCCCCTTTGCTTGTCCGTGATGCCTTCAGCAGCAGGTTGGGAGGCAGAGAGGGAGAGCGAGAGAGATAGGGAGAGGGGGAATTGCCAGGAATCGAGAAGAGCGCAGAGAAGAATGCAAAACTCCTCATGCTGCTGCTGATGATGATGATGATGATGATGGCGGTGGATCGCATGGTCAGAGTGTGAGGCATGGAGGCCATATGCCAGGGTCCACTCAAGCGCTTGCAGCAGGTTATCAGGACGAATGGACTCACACACAGGGCTCGAAGTAAAGGCGACGGGAGTGTTGAGGGTGTTGGGAATGCTGGGGGATAAGAGAGTTTGCAGGAGAGAGTAGAGGATGCCTAGTGCGTGCTGATGTGACATGCTGCCTTCTGCTTCTGTTCCATTTGCTGGAATCGCATTCAAGCGTGCTGAGGTGGATAATGAGCGGGCTGATGTGGCGGTCGGTCGTGCTGATGTGGCCGGGTGGGAGGGAGAGAGGAGGAGGTTGAGATAGGGGAAGGTGCGGAGGGCTTTGGGGCAGGCGAGTGTGTGGAGAGGAGGAGGGGGAGTAGGGCTTGTGAGGGAAGATGAATTGAAGGTGTCGAGGTTTGTTGGTAGGGGCAGTCGAGGTGGCTGCCCGGGATAATCGGGCAGCAGAGAAAACGCCAGAGACTGCCACTGCAAGCAGGAGCCAGGATTCACAGGAAAGATGGAAGGGATTTGTTGGGAAAAAATCCAGAATAATTCACCCCAAAAGAATAAGAAAAAAAAGATAGTGCAAGAGAGGAGACAGTAAGAGGGAGGAAAATGAAGGAGAAACAAAGCCAGATAAGTTTTGAAGAGGAAGGCACAGGGAAGCTCACGTAAAGCAGAAAACGTAGAGTCTGTGAGAAAGGAGGATTTCCAGCAAAGGGAATTATACACAGTGGACATTAGAGAGTAACACCGCTCTCCAACCTCACAATAGCCCCAGCACTAACAGTGGGCATGAGAGGGGCGAAGTCGAGGAACCTCTCTTCCATTGCAGCAAGCAGGGTGTGCCAGGGCAGGGCTCGCATCAGCAGCTGCCACCACTGCTGCACCGGCAGGGCCTGAATGACCACTGTACGGCATGAATGCATAGCTCCTCTGCTCCCTGTCACTACCGCTCTTTCACTCCCTCTCCTGCCACTCTCACCACTGCCCTCCTCTCGCTCCTCCTCTCCCTCGTCTTCCCCCGCTCCCTCCTCTTCTTCTTCCTTCTCTCCCCCTTCTCCTCCCTCGACTCCCTCTTCGCCTTCCGTCCACTCCTCTCCCACTTCTGACAGCACGAATTCAGCCCCAGCAACTCCTCTCTTGCCCTGCACGCCCTGTGTCCCTCTCCTCTCCCCTCCCTCCTGCGCCCCTCTCCTCTCCCCCGCCTCTTGCCCACCTCTCCCCTCCCCACTCCCCCGCGCCCCTCGCTTCCTCTGCATCTCCTGCTCCCACAGTAGCACATACAGCGACCCCAACGCCCCTCGCGCCAAAACCCTCTCCTCCTCACCCCAGCACATCTCCTCCAACCGCATAGTACCACTCATGTCTCCATTCCCACCCATCACCCCACCTCTTGACTCTGATTCGTTTTCCAAGGATGCAAGTTGGTGCGGAAGTTGTGAGGGGAGAAAGGGGGAGAGCAGAGCAGTAGGTGGGATGGCGGAGGTGGTGAGAAGGCAGGCCGGCCAAATGAGACGAAGGAGGGCAGAGCGAGAGAGGGGTTGGATGGCAGGGGTGAGAGGGCGTGTGGTGTGGTGGGAGAGGGTGGGAGTGGTGTTTGGAATGGTGGAGGAGGTGGGGTGGAGAGGGGAGTGGGAGGGGTGTGAGGGGGACGGGTGGGCGGAGGAGGGATGGGATGGGGAGATGCGGGACGGGGAGGGGTGGGAACGGGGGACATGAGAAGGGGAAGCGCGGGAGGGGGAGGGGTGCGAGGAGGGGAGAGAATAATGCGGGTGTGCCGGGGGGTGGCCGGAGGGGGGATGCGAGACGGGCGTGCGGGAGGGGTTAGGTGGAGGAACGGGGAGGGACGCGGAAGCAAGAGCAGAGACGAAGGAGGAGAGGAGGGAGGGGAATACGGGGTGGATGGGGAGGGAAGCGGCGTAGAGGCAGTGGAAGACAGCCGGGGTGGGGTTGATGTGGTGGAGAGAGAAGAGGTCTGCTTGTAGCAGCAGATGCACACACTCTGCTGCCCGCACTGCTGCTGTCTGCGCTGCTGCTACTGTGGTGGTGACAGGGGACAAGGCTTGTGCCACCGTTACTGCTGGACTGTTGTCCACGAAACCGGTGCGGTTCACGACTGTACTGTGGGTTTGGCTTGGTGCAACACAATGCGGGTGCAGCGCTGCCACTGCTCGGACCACCCCTGCTGCAGAGAATAACGCAGGAGCAGCAGCGGCAGTGGCAGCACCGCCACTGCCAGCAGGAGCAGAATTATCACGAACGGCAGCGGCAGGAGGCGCAACAGCAGCAGCGGTGTTTGTGTGTCCGTTGGGACTCCCTACCCCTGTTGCCATGTCAGCAAGATAGGTGAGTGAGGCGGTATTCACAATCACTGGGAAGCCCAGGGTTTGCTGAATGAGCTGTGGATGGGGTAAAGACATGAAAAGGGAGGCAGGGGGGAGGGAAGGGAAAGGTGAAGATATGGTTTCAGGAGCCTGAAATGGCAAGCTGGCATATGCACGCATGTGCACGTATCCATTAGCGGGAGTGTGCACATACAGCAAGCTCACAATACAAGGGTTCTCATTATAAACAAGTATCACTTAACACGCACCTGCACCAGAGCGTCGTGTCTCTTGAGAATCAGCTGCACCAGCACCCACACCACTAACACCTCGTTGCCTCCTCGTTCCCCTCGCTCTGCCCCACCACTCCCTTCTCCCCTTTCCTCTGCTTCACCACTCCCCTCGGCAGCTTTGCTTCGCTGTTGCTTTGAGGAGGAAGGTCTGGGATTGTGAGACGGGGTGAGCGAGAGAGGCGCTGAGAGAATGGAGCGTGCTGCTTGCAGGTAGAGGGGGTGGAGGAGAGGTGAAGTGGCGAGGGAGGGGGGGATGAGAGAGAGGAGGGAGAGAGCAAGGAGCACGAGGTCTTCAGAGATGGGGGAGGGTGTAGCTCCTGCAGACCCTTTCTTGCTGTGCTGCTGCTGGTGCTGATGGTACTGCTGCTGCTCCTGGTGGTGTTGATGGTGCTGGTGCTGCTGCCTTTCCTGGGACGTCATGGTGGAATTTCCTGCTGTGCCTTGCACGATCACTGACAACCAAAACGACACCTGCAACAGCAGCAGCAGCAGCAAGGAAGGTGAGGAAGGGATGGGCAACAAAAAAACCAGGAAACCATATTCCCACCCTCCCCGCCCGCATGCGCACCTCTTTGGCTGCCAGGCTGTCATGTGTAGCCTCTTCCAACCTCACCACACCGCATCCACACAACAGACAAAACACCCGCAGGCGCTGCGACAGCTCTGCCGACCATCTGCCGGCCGACTTTTGAGGCATCTCAAAACCCGCCCGGCCGCCCTCCACCAGTCGCCCCTGTGCCTTGGCCCCAGCTCTCCCCGCCACGCCACCACCACCTTTTTCCTCATTCTCCTTCTCTTCCTTCCCTGTACCCTCAGCCTCACATTTAACCTCCACACCCTCCCCACCGTGACTTAGCCTCACATCCAGACCCACTCTCTCCGCCTCTGCCTCCGCTCCTCGCAGCAATGCCACCCTGGCACGCCACATGGCGCACTCTGATTGGCTCCCAGAAGCACCCGACAGCAGCACTGGTTCTACTTTCCCCACTGCAGCCCCCATACCATCGCATTCCCCCATCGCCCCTGCTGCCTCCCTTTGCCTCTTAACCCCTCCTCCTTGGCCATGTGACACTGAAGGGCCCCAGGTCTCCCGTGGAGAGAAAAACTCCTGGGGATCAAACTCACTGAGGCACGGAAACGGTTGTGCAGGAACGTTTCGGCTTGGAAAAAATACGTCCTTTGCTTCTCCCTCCCTCTCCTTCTCCCTCTCCCTCTCCTTCTCCCTCTCCCTCTCTTTCTCCCTCTCCCGCTGCTCTGTATGTCTCTTCACTGCATCCCCGTCCTCCTTGCCACCTCTCCCCTCCCCTCCACCTCTTCCCCCTTCTTCCCCTTCTCCTATTTCCCCCCATGGGATCCTGTAAGGCGCTATAAGGAACCTCCAGCAACTGCTTCTGGCCAATAGGGGATCGGAGAGAGGAGGCAGGGCAGAGAGGAAGAACGCCAGCTCATCACCAATCAGATCCACCGTAATCTGCACTGCCAGCTCAGCAAGCACGCGCTGACTCAGCAACGCCGCCCGGCACGCCTTGGGAACCGCAAGAGGGTCTTCCAGCAACACGGGAGGTGTAGATTCAGCCGTGGATCTACTTGCTGACGTGGCAGCTGTAGCGGCAGACAGCTGGCAGATGCAGACCATGGCGAGAGAAGCTGCACGGAAGGTGCATGAGGCCCATTTTGTAGCAGTAAGACGAGCAGTGAGGGGAGTGGCGGTGCCGGTTGTGCTTGGCCGAGCATGGGTGCGAGCAGGGGAGCGAGCAGCTGAGGTAGGAGGAGGGGGAAGCGAGGATGGTAAAGGGGGGTGCTGGTGGGAGGAGTACTTATGATCTGCGTAGTGTTGAATGGGACCCACCACACCAGCGAGCAACCCCTGAGCCTGCCTGTGCTGTAGCTCTTTCAGTGGGGGCGGCTTAGAGGAGAAGCTTCCAGGAAAGGCAAACGCATGCGGCCGCTTTGGACGCAGGGTCTGCTTAGCACCAGCAGCAGCAGCGCCCCTGGCAGTACCAGCAGCACCAGTGCCAGTGGCAGTACCAGCAGCACCAGTGCCAGTGGCAGTACCGGCAGCACCAGTGCCAGTGGCAGTACCAGCAGCACCAGCGCCAGTGGCAGCCCCGGCACCAGCAGCAGTGACAGCAGCACCAGTAGTGGCACCTTGCCTGTTCGCTGCCATGGGGTCTCTAGCATCGCCACCTGCAGTAGCAGCAGCAGCAGAAGCGCCCCAATGTGTGCGATCGGATTGCGGTTTAGGGTGAAATGACGGTTGAAGAGGTTGAGAGTGGTGAATGGATGTACGTGTGGATGGAGAGGTGTGGCCCAGGACTCCAGCGAGAAGCTTAATCGCGGAGGTTCGGAACTGCGGAGAGGTTTGGAGCACCAGGCCTGCAATTAGGCTCGGGCCGAGCCTTGAAGCCAGCAGTCCAAGAACAGCCAGGCCTGTTGGTTGAATGAAAGCAGAGAAGTGGGAGACAGATAGGGCCGATAAAGGAATTAGGTGACTCCTCAGGGAATGCTGGGAAGAAATTAGAGGGCACAGAAACCTGGAACAATGAACGAAGGGTGCGCGTTGAGAGGGGTGGGAGGAATTCTTGCATTGAAGAGTCGTCTGTTGCGGAGGGAGGGAGGGGAGTTTTGCTTCGACTCAAAAGTCACATGTCTGTTACGTGTTGTGGGAGGTGGGAGGAAACATTGTGGTGTGGCTGACCTGGCGGGAGGAGAGAGGGGCACTTGAGCGCCAGTGCAGGCAGCAGGCAGAGCAGCTCCGGAATCAACACGGGATCGTCAAATAACCTCCTCTCCTCCTCTTCCTCCTCCTCCTCCTCCTCCTCCTCCTCCTCCTCCTCCTCCTCCTCCTCCTCCTCCTCCTCCTCCTCCTCCTCCTCTCCCTCCTCCTCTCCCTCCTCCCCCTCCACCCCTCTACACCGCTCTCTAACCACTCGCGAGGCAGCAGCACCCATCAATTCCTCCTCAAGACCTCCCAGACCCCACTCCCCCAACCCTCCTCTCCCCCACACACCCCCCTCAGCCCTCTGCCCCCCCACTCCTCTCTTTCTCTTCCCTTCCCTGCCATGCCTCTTCAACCTCAGCTTCTCCCACTCCTCTTCCTCCTCCTCCGCTCCTCTTGCCCCTCCTTCTGCCGCCGCCCGACTCTCACGCATGTGGACAAAAAAACGCACAGTGCACTGGCGGAGGAAGAAGACAGCCAGCGCCGCCCGATGCACCTGGAAAATGTGAGAGACGTACCAGAAGGAAGTTGGCAAAACTGTACACACAGTCACACATGAAGTGACACCGTGGAATGGCAATGTACAGTCTCCCTACTGGACACACGCATGCCACATGTTGCGCTGCTGCACGCAAGTGGTTAATCATGGCAAGCGATTCACAAGAGCATGACACCAATCAGCCACCGTCTCAGGAATTGCTTGAAAAGGTTTCAACCCCCAAGTCACCAAGCATGGAGGCTGCAATGAACTACCCGGTCATTGAGTAAGTAGAAAAACCAGCAACCAGCCAGCGCCGAAGGCATCACCGCTCACCTCGTTGCCCGTTTCAAACATCTTCGCAGCATCCAGCCGCGCTGCCCTTCCCCTTCGCTCTCCGCCTCCCCTATGCCTTCCCCCCTCTCCTTCTTCCGTCTTTACCACTCCTTTCCCCCTCATTCCCTCGTCATCCTCCGCTCCCCTCCGCTTCCGCCTCTTCCGCGCCCGTACCCCGCCACCCCGCCGGTCCGGCCGCAGCTTCCGCCATCCGCGCTGCATCCGCGCAAGCCTCTTAATCTCCGCGTCCACCGCGGCGGGCTCTAGCAGTGACAGGTACTCCGCCAGTCGCGGCGCGAGTTGCGGGTTGAGCACCGCTCGCGACGCGGTGACTTTATCGAAAGCCATGAGGTCTAGCAGACGGGCGTTAGGGTTGCTGGGCGAACGATGTGGTCCGGATATAGGTTGAGGTGACCTGGATGCAAACTGAGTGACCGGAATAACGGCGGCTGATCAGGTTCCGGAGTCGCTATGCGTCGCGCATTGCACGATGATGTCAATAATTGTCAAGGGAGTCTTCGACTTCACGTTTTGGAAGCAAAACGACTCCATTAGTGTCGACGATACGTGAACATGGAATGCGGGACATGGCGGAGGATAAAGCAGGCTCGAATGCTGCTGGTGCAGTGATGCTGCTTTTGGGATTGGAGCATATACTCGTTACAAAATGAGTTGGAGGTTCAACGAAAGAATGCTTCTAAACAAAGTATTGCACACTCCGCAAAATTATTCTTCGCAGTCTGTTCCCGCATTGCATAACACAATTCGCCCGCTTTGCAAAACGAACTGGCCTTTTCTCTATGGCCTTGGCCATTGCGTCCTGATTCTGACATTCCACATTCTCACGCTCTCACCACATTCTCCATGTTCTCACGCTCTGATCACACTGAGATTGTCAATCACCTAAAGTTACTCATGCTCTAGATTTTAGCAGCCTAGAACCGAGCCTCAGCGGGTCAGTGTTGCGTCGGATTTTGTGAGGTTAAAGCATTGCTGTTTTCGTGTACAGCTGCCAGGAAACATCGAACCGTACCTACGCTATCAGCAATCCTCGAAAATGTCTTACCATTCGCTACCCCCGCCTCGTGCTGAGCTCGACGATCCCTCGGTATCTCCACGACCTCCTCGGGTGCTGCTCGTCGGGAATCTCTGTCACGACGTCATCACGTTGAAATCCGGGAAAACGGTTGAGGCGTTTGGCGGCTCGGTCGCGTACATCTCGCGCGTGCTCGACGCAGTCGGCGTGACGTCGCAATCCGTCGCGAAATTCGGCTCGGATTTCAAGTACTGGGACGCGCTGGGCCCGAATTGCCGGCCGGTAGTGGTGGGTGGGGACGAGTCGGAGAGAAGGGGGTCAAACGGCCCTGCAGGGACAGCAGCAGCAAAGACGACCGAATTCTTCGCGGATTTCACAGGTGATGGGTCGCCATGGTTTAGTCCCCATTTCTAACGTGCCGTTCTGATCTCCCACATGCTGAGTTATTCTCCTAAAAGTACCTGATTTGCATTCCATTTGCGTCATTCCATTCCCACTTGATTTTTCCTTTAACTCCTTTCTTTCCTGGTTCCTCCCTATCAAACCATAACTGGACATTCAGGCTCCGACCGCGTGCTGACAGCAGGCCACGTGTGCGAAGCCATAGAGCCAGCAGATCTCCCCAGCTTCTCATGCTCATGTCCTTGCCCGTGCGGATGCCAAGATTCATATCCATTGGCGAATCCTTATCCTGATCATTCCACTCCACCTGATGCTGCTGCCACTTCCGCTGGGGAGGACTGTGACAATAAGAGGTTTGACCCAAGACGACCGATTGGTAATCAGAGTGCAGGGAGCTGCTCTCACGTGCCGATGTTTGATGTGGGAGTGGCTGCTGGTGTGGCTGGGGAGGTTCCACCATCAACAGTGCGACACATTGCAGAAATCTCACGCCACACGGTTGCAGATCTACAGGTACTATTGCATCATGCCAGTGCGTGGAACATAGAAATTCCTGGTTGCTTTTTGTGAATTTTCTGTGTATTGACTTTTGTGTCCTGTGAGTTCACTTCGCTTCTTTACTCACCTGTTCCCGGCCTTTGCCCCTCCCCTTTCAGTCGATGGTGCGTGACATTGACCCTGTGACAGGGGCTGTTGAACTGCTGCATCTTGAGAAGACCTCTTTTATGGCTCTCCTTCCGCGGATATCATATCTTAAGGTGCTGCTCTGTTCCGTGTGCATACCCCTTTTGCTCCATACTACATGAGTGCAAGCGAGCGTTGCAAGCTTATTGCATATTCGTATTGTAACACGTGCTGTAGTATTTCTGCGCATCCTTATGCATCTTACTACTCAAGCACGCCATTTCTCTCCGTTTCATCATCTCCTGCATGTCTCCAGGTCGCCAGTCATGAAGCTGCCTTCCTGGATATTAAGAATTGTGCTCGGCTGCTTGGCTCAGCCCAAGCTAGGAGTGCAGTGGAGCAATGCAATGGTAGTAGAGATAGTACCATTGGAGGAGCTGTGCTGCTGACTCAGGCTGAAAAAGGGTGTACAGTCATCACAAGGTAGGGACATACAATGCCACATTACACAATGGCAGCAATGTGCCATGTCAATGTCTATTTCTGGTTCTGTTTATCCAAACCATTGTTGTGTGACTGATTCCGTTCCTCCCTCGTATTGCAGAGACAGAGAGTTCGTGGTCCCCTCATTTCCTGCAGTGGAAGTGGATTCCACAGGTGCAGGCGATTCATTCATGGCAGGCTTCATTACAGGCCTGTGCTTAAATCGATCACTAGAGCAGGCAGTGCAGATGGGCTCATTCTTTGGAAGCATAGCTGTAGAGCAGGTTGGAGTGCCAACCATAACACCGTCAATTGTTGCCCGATGGAAATCAGTCTTCAGTGTAGACACATGATATGATATGTATTTGTTTCTTCATATGCCATGGGAGAAGGACATAACTCAGGATGCATCCAGGCCACCGTGGCTAGAAGGATCAACGAGGGTCAACGGCCCAAACGTCTACCAGAACTCCCTAGATGGACTGGGAGGGTTGGGCAGTGGAGGAACCCAATCCCCAATAAACCGTTACAACAACTTCTGCATTGTACGATCTGGGATTTTTGGCAAACATGAACATGTTACGGTGCTACACCTAGTGCTTTATCGCCCCTGTTAGACCCAGAATCTCCCAGAATTCTTGATAACCCCGCGCTTATGTGGAAGCCTCTCGTTTCTCTAACATTCGAATCGGACGGTGGAAAGCCCGCGAAGCCTCTCGCAGCCTCCAGTGTGAAGTTTCGACGGCCAGCTGCTGCTCGCGGCGCCACGATCTGCTGGAAGCATCTAGAAAGTTTCGTGATGGACGGACAGGGAAGGCCTTCCCCAGCGGGTTGGCACCGTTGATAAAGCTCTTCCCCCCCTCACACCAGCAGACAACTCAAATCTACAAATAGCTAAGCGCACATCTGCTTCAACAGATCTCAGTTTCCAGCTGAGAATTTTGCCTATTCCTCTGCTGCTTTTTGCAAAGCCCTTTTTCAACGTACCCAAAAACTCCTGCTTACGATTTAGACGCCATGGCCGCGAAGGGAGAAGGTCCCGCTATTGGTATCGATCTCGGTACCACCTATAGCTGTGTCGGTGTGTGGCAGCACGATCGCGTTGAGATTATCGCCAACGACCAGGGTAACCGCACCACCCCCTCCTATGTCGCCTTCACCGACTCGGAGCGTCTCATTGGCGATGCTGCGAAGAATCAAGTCGCCATGAACCCCATCAACACTGTTTTCGGTGAGTCCAAATGACTTGATGATCTAAACGTGATGATCTTAACGGAGGCCTTTCACACACCGATTATTCAAATTGTTGATGATTACAGAGACCGAACATTGAACTAATTCGTTATGGTTTTCTTATACTGCGCAGATGCCAAGCGTTTGATCGGGCGTCGGTTCTCCGATGCTCCAGTTCAGAGCGACATCAAGCTGTGGCCGTTCAAGGTCACCTCAGGACCCGGCGAGAAGCCCATGATTGAGGTGCAGTACAAGGGCGAGACCAAGGTTTTCGCTGCGGAGGAGATCTCTTCCATGGTGCTCATCAAGATGAAGGAGATCGCCGAGGCTTACCTCGGAAGCACCATCAAGAACGCCGTCGTTACCGTCCCTGCTTACTTCAACGACTCTCAACGACAAGCCACGAAGGACGCGGGTGTCATCGCGGGCCTGAACGTCCTCCGTATCATCAACGAGCCCACTGCTGCTGCTATCGCTTACGGTCTTGACAAGAAGGCGACGAGCACCGGCGAGAAGAACGTTCTTATCTTCGATCTTGGCGGAGGAACCTTCGATGTGTCGCTGCTGACGATCGAGGAGGGTATCTTCGAGGTGAAGGCCACTGCTGGAGACACTCACTTGGGCGGTGAGGACTTCGACAACCGATTGGTGAACCACTTCGTTCAGGAGTTCAAGAGGAAGTACAAGAAGGACATCACCAACAACCCCAGGGCTCTCCGTCGTCTCCGTACTGCCTGCGAGCGTGCTAAGAGGACTCTTTCGTCGACGGCGCAGACTACCATTGAGATCGACTCTCTGTATGAGGGTATCGACTTCTACTCCACCATCACCCGTGCCAGATTCGAGGAGCTCAACATGGACATGTTCCGCAAGGTTAGTTCCTCCATTTCTTCCGAATCAGTCTTTTGTCCTCGTACCTTTTATACAATTTGGAGGTTCATGGTTCTGATTTATGGTTCTGATTTATCCAACTTCTTAGCCTTGGTTCTGATTTTCCTCCCCGCACTTGGTACTTCGAATAGTATTCCTAATTCTCTTTGCTCTTTCTGTGTTTTGCAGTGCATGGAGCCAGTTGAGAAGTGCCTCAAGGATGCCAAGATGGACAAGGGTACGATCCACGACGTGGTGCTCGTTGGCGGGTCCACGCGTATCCCCAAGGTGCAGCAGCTCCTGCAGGACTTCTTCAACGGCAAGGAGCTCTGCAAGAGCATCAACCCCGACGAGGCCGTCGCGTACGGTGCGGCCGTGCAGGCGGCTATTCTCAGCGGCGAGGGTAACGAGAAGGTGCAGGACCTGCTGCTGCTCGATGTTACTCCCCTGTCCCTGGGTCTGGAGACTGCTGGCGGTGTCATGACCACTATCATCCCCAGAAACACCACGATCCCCACCAAGAAGGAGCAGGTGTTCTCTACCTTCTCCGACAATCAGCCTGGTGTGTTGATCCAGGTGTTCGAGGGTGAGCGCGCTAAGACCCGGGATAACCATCTGCTCGGAAAGTTCGAGCTGTCCGGCATCCCCCCTGCTCCTCGCGGTGTCCCCCAGATTACCGTCTGCTTCGACATTGACGCTAACGGTATCCTGAACGTCAGCGCCGAGGACAAGACCACCGGCCAGAAGAACAAGATTACCATCACCAACGACAAGGGCCGGCTCAGCAAGGACGAGATTGAGAAGATGGTTCAGGACGCGGAGAGGTACAAGGAGGATGATGAGCAGCACAAGAAGAAGGTTGAGGCGAAGAACTCCCTAGAGAACTACGCCTACAACATGCGCAACACCATCAAGGACGACAAGATCGCCAGCAAGCTTGACGCCGATGACAGGAAAAAGATTGAGGACGCCGTGCAGTCGACCATTGACTGGCTCGACCAGAACCAGCTGGGTGAGGTTGATGAGTTCGAAGACAAGATGAAGGAGCTGGAGGGCATCTGCAACCCTATCATCGCCAGGATGTACCAGGGAGCAGGAGGTGCTCCTCCTGAGGCTGACATGGATGGCGCCAGTGCCGGATTTGCTGGAGGTGCTTCCGGTGGTGGTGGATCTGCTGGGCCCAAGATTGAGGAGGTCGACTAATTCGAGAAATCTAGTTGATTGTTTGTTCAATCTTTGTACTACATTCAAAATTTTGAAGCCATTCATTGCTTTCAGTACAGAAACACACCAGAAACCCTCAAATGGGCTCAGAAACCCGTGCATAACATATCTTACCTAGCAATTAGTATTCAGTGAACTTCTACCAGAGTCAATAATCTAGGTAATGCTGCAGGATGGAACAATCCCCTTAGTTCTCAACATTGCACTTGGACCACAATTTTCATCATCCAAGCATGTTTCTCTAGTCACTGGAAGCTCCAACTGGGTGATTGTAACATTGGTAGTAGTACCTTTCCAAGTAATTCTTCTTGTTGAGTGAACTGTGCTAGTAACATCGGGGCCTGTAAAGTGGATATGCTGTACTGCTGTAATGTTCGCCCAGCGAACAGAACCTCAGTCAGGCCGGCGGGAAAGTTTCTTTCTTTCCTAGTCAAGCCGACCCCTCCCCGCGGCGAAGGTTTTGCGTCCCGATGAGTCAAGTTTTGATGACGGTTAGCTGCGGCGCCACGATTTGCTGGAAGCACCTAGTCGTGATCGACGGGCAGGAGAGGCCTTCAGAGATCGCCAAAATGGCAAAGGACCATTGACAGGCTAAATAACCTTCCCGTCTCACACCTGCAGACAAATCCAGCTTATAAAGATTTCAGTTCAGTTGAGGAATGTGCCTATTCTTCAGATTCTTCCCTACATAGGCTATACTCGTCGACGCACCTCCGTACCCTCGTCACTCCTGTTTACACTCCCAGCAGAATGGCTGCTATTGGTATCGACCTCGGTACAAGCTACAGCTGTGTCGCTGTGTGGAAGCACGATCGCGTAGAGATAATCGCGAACGACCAGGGTAGCCGCACCACCCCCTCCTATGTCGCCTTCACCGACTCGGAGCGTCTCATTGGCGATGCTGCGAAGAAGCAAGTTGAAATGAACCCAGTCAACACCGTCTTCGGTGAGTCCACGCAAATTGATGTTCTTAACATAAGCTCTTTATAGTAACTTCAAATTGACGATAATTACCGGGAACGAACATTTAACTAATGTGTCCTGGTTCTTTTCACTACTACGCAGATGTCAAGCGTCTGATTGGCCGTCGCTTTTCCGATGCTTCCGTCCAAAGCGACAAAAAGCTGTGGCCGTTCCAGGTCACCAAAGGCCCTGGAGACAAGCCCATGATTAAGGTCGAGTTCAAGGAAGAAACCAAAGTCTTCGCTCCCGAGGAAATTTCTTCCATGGTTCTCATCAAGATGAAGGAGATTGCAGAGGCGTACCTCAAAAGCACTGTTAAGAATGCGGTCGTCACCGTTCCTGCGTCCTTCAACGACTCGCAACGACAAGCCACGAAGGACGCTGGCGCAATCGCGGGCCTGAATGTCCTCCGTATCATTAACGAGCCCACCGCCGCTGCTATCGCTTACGGTCTCATCAAGAAGGCGACCAATTCCGGCGAAAAAAACGTTCTCATATTCGATCTTGGCGGAGGTACCTTGGATGTGTCGCTTCTGATTATCAAGGAGGGTACTTTTGAGGTTAAGGCGACTGCTGGTGACGCTCACTTGGGCGGTGAGGACTTCGACGCCCGTCTGGTGAAATTCTGCGCTGAGGAGTTCAAGAGGAAGTACAGGAAGGACATGAGCACCGACCAGAAGGCTCTCCGTCGTCTCCGCACTGCTTGCGAGCGTGCCAAGCGAACCCTCTCGGACTCGACGCAGGCGAAAATTGAGATTGACTCTCTGTACGATGGTCAAGACTTTGACAGCACCATCACCCGTTTAAGACTCGAGGAGCTCAACATGGACTTGTTCCGCAAGGTGCGTTGGAACGCTTTCGTTATTTTCCCCTTGCAGTTAGAGAATTAACTGCATCCTTGAAGTTCTGTTGAAATTTCAGAGACCCGAGTTTCGATTTTTTCTCGTAATCTGAATCTGTGATTTTACCTTTTTGAGGATCGAAGCTGAAGTTGTTTCCTTCTTGTATCTGCAGTGCCTTGAGCCGGTGGAGAAGTGCATCAGGGACTCGGGGTTGAGCAAGCATCAGATTCACGAAGTGGTGCTCTTCGGTGGCTCCACGCGCATTCCCAAGGTGCAGCAGCTGCTGCAGGACTGTCTCAACGGCAAGGAGCTCTGCAAGAGTATCAACCCCGACGAGGCCGTCGCGTACGGTGCTGCCGTGCAAGCGGCTATCCTCAGCGGCGAGAAGGTGCAGGACCTGCTGCTGCGCGACGTCACGCCTGTGTCCCTGGGTCTCGAATCTGCCAACGAGGTCATGAACGTGATCGTTCGCAGGAACACCGCGATTCCCACGAAGAAGGAGCAGGTGTTTTCCGGTAACCAGCCTGGTGTGTTGATCCAGGTGTTCGAGGGTGAGCACCCCAAGACCAAAGATAACCGTCTGCTCGGGAAATTTGGGCTGTCCAATATCCCCCCTGCTCCTCAGATCACCGTCTGCTTCGACATGGACGCTAACGGTATTCTTAATGTCAGTGCCGAGGACAAGACCACCGGCCAGAAAAAGAAAATTAAGATTGAGAAGGGGCGGCTGAGCGAGGCTGAGATTGCGAAGATGGTCCAGGACGCTGAGAGGTACAACGCGGAGGACGTGCGGGATAAGAGGAAGGTGAAGGCAATGGACTCGCTTATGACGTATGCCTACGAGATTAAAAACATGATGACAAGGGACGACACAATCACGTGCGATCTCGACGCTGGGGACAGATATAAAATCGAGGATGCTGTGGAGATGACGATAGAGTGGCTCGCACGGACCCCGATGGCTGAGGCGTACGAATATGAAGACAGGAAGAAGTGGCTGGAAGGTATCTGCAGCCCTTTCATCGTCGTGATGTGATGTACCAGGGAGCAAGAGCCTGGAGGTGCGCCTCCTGATTGTGTTCAGAGATTCTTGCATAAGATGTCCTAACCAAAAATAGTGACTGGGTGAAGTGAGCTTGTTGTGCCCTTTTCATCTAAGTTGAATGAATGATGATGTAGCATTCAGCAACTGTCAATTGGTGCTCAACATTGCTCTTAGCCTACAATTTTCACCTTCCAGGCGTGACATTTTGTCTCTAATGAGTATAACCTCTGGTTTTTTTAACCGTATGAAGCTCCACCAGGCAGTTAATTCTGCAATGTGTTGGATGGAAGGTATCAGGAGGAGAAACAACAAGGCACAGTTGAACACACCAGAAGCAGAAAACATGCAAAATACATAGAAATTCACAAGTGGGAAATGGAACTAGTGAGCAGCACCATACACTTGGGTCATGCGTGTAAATTTTAGTGAAATGCACATCTTAGACAGCGGTAGCAATTCTTCGTGTAGTGTCAATCGTGCGAGCGAGCACCTTCGTGGCCTGTAAGGTGTATCAGCTGCTTCGCTTGCCAAACGAGGCCCCAGTAACAGGCGGGCGCAGGAGCTTCTTCCTTGGTCGGGCCGACCCAGACCAGATCCTATTTATCCAGTCCCGACCGACCCTGACCTCCCGGAAATTGTGCCGTCCATAGTCCGTAATCAGGCCGACCAGTCACGGAACTGCGTGGCCTGGATGCTTACTACAGTCGTCTCCCTAGAAGCACCCCTTCCCCCCCCCTGCGCCGAACGTTTTGCGTCTCCCAGAGTCAAGTTTCGACGGCCAGCTGCGGCGCCACGATATCTGCTGGGATGAATCTAGTCGTAATCGGCGGTCAGGAGAGGCCTCTTCAGATAAGCAAAATGGCAAAGACTGTTGACAGGCTAACTTCGCTTCCCCCCTCACACCAGGAGACATCTCCAGCTTACAAAGAGCTAAGCTTCCAGCTGCTTATACAGATCTCAGTTCAGCTAAGAAATTGTGCCTATTCCTCAGCTTCTTTCCTACCTAGGCTATACTCGTAGACGCACCTCCGTACCTCCTCGCCTCTGCTTGCACTCCCAGCGAAATGGCTACCTGGGGAGACGGTCCGGTTATTGGTATCGATCTCGGTACTACCTACAGCTGTGTCGCTGTGTGGCGACACGGTCGCGTGGAGATCATCCCCGACGAACAGGGTAACCGCACCACTCCTTCGTGTGTCGCCTTCACCGACTCGGAGCGTCTCATTGGCGATGCTGCGAAGAATCAAGTCGAAAGGAACCCAACCAACACCGTCTTCGGTGAGTCGACGCACACTGATGCTCTAGTGACATATTATTTTAACCTAATGTGATGATATTACAGGGAGCAACCATTCAACTTAAATGTGTCCCCGATTATTTTCACTACTACGCAGATGTCAAGCGTTTGATTGGCCGTCGCTTTTCCGATGCTTCCGTCCAAAGCGATAAAAAGCTGTGGCCGTTTAAGATCACCGAAGGCCCTGGCGACAGGCCCGTGATTAAGGTCCAGTACAAAGGCGAGACCAAGACCTTCGCTGCGGAGGAAATTTCCTCCATGGTTCTTATCAGGATGAAGGAGATCGCCGAGGCTTACCTCGGAAGCACCGTTAAGAACGCCGTCATCAGCGTTCCTGCGTCCTTCAACGACTCGCAACGACAAGCCACGAAGGACGCTGGCGCAATCGCGAGCCTGAACGTCCTCCGTGTCATCAACGAGCCCACTGCCGCTGCTGTCGCGTACGGTCTCGACAAGGTCACGACCAGCGCCGACGTTAAGAACGTTCTTATCTTCGATCTTGGCGGAGGTACATTGGATGTGTCGCTTCTTACGATCGAGGAGGGTGTTTTCGAGGTGAGGGCGACTGCTGGAGACTCTCACTTGGGCGGTGAAGATTTAGACAACCGTCTGGTGAACTACTTCATTCAGAAGTTTAAGAGGAAATACAGGAAGGACATGAGCAACAACCCCAGGGCTCTCCGTCGTCTCCGAGCTGCTTGCGAGCGCGCCAAGCGAATCCTCTCGTGCACCGCACAGACGAGCATTGAGATCGACTGCTTGTACGATGGTATCGACTTCCACACCACCCTCACCCGTACCAAATTCGAGGAGCTCAACATGGACTTGTTTCGCAAGGTAGGTTGCTCTCTCAGCTTCCTCCCTTCCGATCATCATAACCTTTTACTACCTGCAGCCTCGGAAGTCCACTTTGCGGTTCAGGCTCTCTTATTCATTTTCTCACTTTCCCGGTTTCGATTATATTTGATTTGAATGCGATGCTGATTTCGTTTGGCTATGTCTGCCTGCAGTGCATGGAGCCGGTTGAGAAGTGCCTCAAGGACGCCAAGATAGACAAGAATGAGGTCCACGACGTGGTGCTCGTCGGCGGGTCCACGCGTATCCCCAAGGTGCAGCAGCTCCTGCAGAAATACTTCAACGGGAAGGATCTCTGCAAGAGCATCAACCCCGACGAGGCCGTCGCGTACGGCGCGGCCGTGCAAGCGGCTATCCTCAGCCACGAATTTGATGACCTGCTGCTGTTGGAGGCTATTCCGCTGTCCCTGGTTCTGGAGACTGCCGACGGTGTCATGACTGTTGTCATCCCCAGAAACAGCACGATTCCCGTGAAGAGGGAGCATGTAATCTCTACCTCCTCCAGCAACCAGCCTGGTGTGCTGATCCGGGTGTTCGAGGGTGAGAGTGCCAAGACCCGGGATAACCATCTGCTCGGCACGTTCGAGCTGTCCGGCATCCCCCCTGCTGCCCGCGGTCACGCTCTTGAGGTCACTGTCTGGTTCGACATTGATGCCAATGGTGTTCTAAACGTTGGTACCGAGGACGAAACTACTGGCCAGAATAACAAGTTTTCCATCGTGAGAGATAAGGGCCGGCTCAGCAAGGATGAGATTGAGAAGATGGTTCACGACGCGGAGAGGTACAAGGAGGACGACAAGCAGCACAAGAGGAAGGTGGAGGCGAAAAACTTGGTTGAGAGCTACGCCTACAACATGCGCAACAGAATACAGGACGACAAGATCGCCAGCAAGCTTAAAGCCGGTGATAGGAAGAAGCTTGAGGTTGTAGTGCAGTTGACCATTGAGTGGCTCGATAAGATCCAGTTGACTGACGTGGACAGATTCGAAAATAAGATGAAGGAGCTGGAGGGTATCTGCAGACTTTTTCCAGGGTGTTTGAGTTAGGGGTGGTTAGCATTTTATGGAAAGGGTATACGGATTGCCTGCTTTGAGAGCACAACTATGTAGAGCAAAGCAAGGCACATTATATATTGAGACTTCTGTACACACTACTTCTCCATGATGGTTACAACAACCTTCTTTAGCCTAAGATTGTCATGTTCCAAGCATGCTACTTGATATTCAAGAGCAGACACCTGTGCTTCCAGTGAAATTATTCTCTTGTCTTTGGCCTGCAGCTCGGACTGGCAATTCATTCTGCAATCATGTGGGGCAACGCATGACAGAACAGCGGAGTTTAGAGTCGACTCAAACCTCTTATGGAGTAATATGGGGCAAGGCAAGTCAGACGGGCGGGTAGCAGACTGACTGAATGCACTGCACACTGAACAGTAACGAGCAAAATGACGGGAAATTCATCCAGCCAGCAACAGAAATGAATGGGAAACGGTACGAGTGAACACGAGGGAACAAGACCATACAGTTGGGTCATGGCTCGCTCGAATCGCAGCTGAAGCCGCAGCAGAGCCCGCAGCTCATGTGATGAAGATTCCCCTCTGGAAGCTGAGCTATTCGCGGCCCAACCCCACCGAAACCCACTCCATATGTCCTCCTGTGCCCCCACTCTCTGCTCCCTTGTTCCATTTCTCCCACCATCACCCCTGGCACTCGACTCTTCCATTGTCAATTCCCCTCTGTGACTCCCATTCCTGCCTTCCAGTCTCCCTGCATCCCATCCAGTCCCCGCCTCTCCCTGCCTCCATGCCTCCCCTGTTCTGCATCCATCCATCCCTAACCTGTCACCAACAGCCTGCTTATCATTGTCTCTGCACCTCCTCTCAAGCTCCTGCTTAAAATGGCATATCTCACTCCTGTCCTCCCCCCCTTCTCCTCCTCTCCCTCCTCCCCTTCCCTCCGCTTCTCCCCCAATCTCTCTGCCATCCACAGATGCTTCACCAGATCGCCCACCAGGCAACCCCAATCCTCTGGAAGGCGCAGCAAGACATGCTCCTCCTAGCATGCCTGGAGAGGGGGAGAGCTCGCTCCATGTGAGCATGGGGGGTGTGACTGTATGGGGAGGAGAGGATGGAAGGGATGAACACCCGACTGGGTACTTTACTGTGGGAGACACAGCACCTGTTGCGGATTCGCTTCCGGGATGCAGAGCAGTGACAGAGAGGACTGTGGTGGCAGTGGCTGTAGTAAGGGGAGTTGTCAAGGGTAGCAAGGAAGAAAGACACAATGCTTCCGTTGCTGATGATTCTGTTGCTGTGCTTCCTCCCAGCAAGGTTACCTTAGGACAGGTGGTTCCATCCCTTCTCTCTCCACCTCTTCCCACTCCCTCTCTATCCCCACCTGCCTCACCCCCACGCTGCCCGTTCCTCCCTTCATAACCCCTCCCTCCCGTCCTTGCATCGTCCTGGCCATCCTCCACTTCCTCCTCCTCCTCCTCGTCACATCCCCCATCTTCAAAGAATCCCATCACATCAGCAAACGCAGAGGCATGCCCCATCCCGCGGGACTCTGCCAGCACTGCCAGCAGCGACGGCTCAAAGTCAGAAGCACCAGAAATGAACGGCTCAGATCCTTCTGTAAAATGATCCATGGCAGCTTCTCCTGGTACAGCATGCCCCATCCCGCGGGACTCTGCCAGCACTGCCAGCAGCGACGGCTCAAAGTGAGAAGCACCAGAGGGGAAGGGCTCAGCCCCTTCTGTAAAATGATCCGTGTGAGCTTCTCTTCGTACAGCCACGTCTTCTGTACGGATTCGGCCTTCGAAGCAACGAGCTGGGCCTGTGGTGCTATTCCGGTCAACTCCTGCTGCTGCTGCTGCTGCTGCTGTTGCCGCTGTTGCTGGTGATGGTGGTGAAGGTGCTGCTGTTGCTGTTGCTCCTTCTTCTGCTGCTTCTGCTGCTGCTGCTGCTCGTCCTGCTGTTGTTGATGATGGCGATGCATGTATGCTAGATCCGATTTCTAAAGGGTGGTGCTCACATGCTGTAACGCACACTGCACCTTCAGGTGACCGTTCAGGTGATTGTTCAGGTGGTTCCCATGTGTCCCCTACTTGCCACGCCACACCATTCCTCCCATCCACATCGCTTCTGCTGTTGCTACAGCCGTCACTCTTGACACCGCTGCTAGCGCTACAGGTGGCAGGCCCTCCTGTATCCTCTGAACCACCTGCTGCTGCCATGTGCCTCCCTTCTGTAGCAATATCCGCAGCTACTGCAGCCGCAGCCACCGTAATCACGAGTGATCCATCTGCAATCGAGGTTACATCAGCACCTGCCATCGCATCAGCATGTGTAGAGGGAGACAGCCGGGCCAGTCGAGCTGCAATGGCAGCAACAGAAGGGGGTCTGCCTCTATACGTGGGAGTGGAGCCTGCTATAACGGGAGTGGAGCTTGTGAATATAGGGGTGGATGCTGCTAGCATGGGCGTGGCAAACGCTGAACCAGGTGTGGCAAATCCCGGACCAGGTGTGGCAAAGCCCGGACCAGGTGTGGCAAAGCCCGGACCAGGCGTGGCAAATGCCGAACCAGGCGTTCCCCAGTCGTTGTCCGAGCAGAGGGATAGGAACGAATCAGAACGCGGCGAGTCGAATGCACCGTCATTGTCAGACAGCGAATCACAGCGCGCCAGCTCAGCCGTCCCTCTGAGACTGAGGGCACGGGCAGAGCCAGCAGCAGTGATCACAGCATTGCCAGGTGCAGCAACAGCAGAACTAGCAGGTGAGCTACCGGGCGTCATCGCAATGGAAGCACTAGCAGGTGAGCTACCGGGCGTCATCGAAATGGAAGCACTCTCAGGTGTGGTATCAGGTGGTATCGCAGTAGAAGCAGCAGCAGCAGCGCCACCTGCTAGCTGTGCGCCCTCCATAACCCACTGCTCCACACGGGGAATTCTCGACTTCTGTAACTGCTGCCTCTGCCCCTGACCTTGCTGCTGTTGCTGCTGCTGCTGCTGCTGCCTCTGCCCCTCGTGCTGCTGCTGGGGATTCTGCGAGTGCTGCTGGTGTGATCCGGTTTCATCCACGCTTGCAGACGAAGCAGCGGGGGTGGCAATGTGGGTGGGGTTGGTAATGGAGGCGGTGGTGGTGAGGGGATGATGTGCAGGGAGGGCCAGGGAAGATGAACCTGGGGGCTGATGGTGCGAGGACGAGGGCGTGGAGCGTGTGGCCTTTGAGGATGGCGGATGGGATGGTAGAACAGATGGTGGGTGGGAAGGTGGGTGAGAAGAAGGATCGGATTGTGGGTGGGATGGAGGGAGGGGTGGAGGGTACGTTGGGCCGGCATGGACTGGTTGAATCATGCGCGACTGTTGGAGAGACGAGGAGGTGGGAGAGGAGGCACGGGAGGAGGAGAAGAGTCGCACGTCAGCATTAGAGCATGCAGGTTGCACCGAGCCGGCGCGCACACACAAGCACTCCACCTGGCGAGGAAGAACAGGAAGGAGAGGGAGGGGAGAGTCGGCATGTTGAAGACAGCATGTTGAAGACAGCATGTTGAAGACAGCATGTTGAAGACAGCATGTTGAAGACAGCATGTTGAAGACAGCATGTCAGCCCTTGAGGCAGCTGGAATGCCTGTATTAGTCCCCCATGCCCATGCCACCCGAGGTTCCACCAAGCCAGTGTGCACGCAATGAAAATAGTGTTTTGATGCGTCTCGAAACACTACTTTTATCACCCGAGGTTCCACCAAGCCAGTGTGCACTCACAGGCACTCCACCTGGAGAGGCAGGGCAGGGAGCAGAGGGGAGAGTCGGCATTTGAAGTTACCCTGTGTTGCACTAACATACGACCCTCCACCCACCCTCCACTCGTTCTCCACCCGCCCGCCCTCCACGCTCTCTTGCCTGAAGGGACGCGGCTGCAGCAGTGACAGACAGCAGCACCATCCACCCTTTGAGACGCCTCAAAACCCCCAAGCCAAGTCACTCCCTAACCATGCCAACATACGGCCCTCCAGTCCACCCCGCCTCTCCCTCACCTCACCCCACTCCACCCGCCCTCCACCCTCCATCCCGCCGTCCCCCCACCCTCCACACTCCCTCGACTCCTTACTTGCAGGGATGCGGCTGCGGCAGTCACAGACAGGAGCTCCATCCACCGTTCGGCTGCTTGCTTGCTCTCTGCTGCCAGGTGGTGCGATCCCATTGGTCCGCGGATGTCTGTGGGGGGGCAAATGAAGAGGATTCAGTTGAAGCATGTGGAATTCTTAAAAGACGTGGAGGGGACGGAGGGCAAGCGAATGGAAGAGAGATGGCTACTGAGTCAGAGTCAAAGAGACAAAAAAAGGAAGTTACCCCCGTGGAGGAGGAAAACCAAGACTAAAATGGTGGAAAGACAAGCTGGGAAGGTGACTCACAGAAGCAGGACCAGGTGGGGTGGTTGGCCGGGGAGCTGCACGTTGGGGTCAGGGAACAAGGAAGAGAAAGGGGACAAGGGCGAGACAGGGCGGGGAACGAAGGGGAAGTGGGAGAGAGGAAGTGCACGTCAAGCGAGCAGTTTGTAAAAAGAATCTCGAAACATCAAGGTGACTGCCGGATCAACTGAAGAGCAGCTACAGGGGAGGCGAGGTGACCTTAAAACGGGTTGTGAGAAATGCATATTTCGCACCTCAGCACCCCCACACTCGCATCCACCAATGGTATCGTGCCACGTAGTCGCGAATCTCCCTCCCTGATCTTATACAACAGCCGTGGCGCGCCTCGATGCAGAATGAACCACCGGCGCCGCCATTGCCGCAGCTGATCGCTTAGCTTCCACAGCTCCCCCTCCAGCGTCTGGCCTTCAAGAAGATGCGATTCCGCTAATCCGCGTGACTTGCGGAGGGACCAAGCCGCCATTGGAAATACCGTTAGAGAGTGGCTTTCGGAAACGGGGGTTATGAGCATCCGACGTTATGAGCATTCAAGGGTATCAGCATTCGGAAGCATCAGCATCAGCATTCAGCCTGGACTTCTTCAAGCTGAGATTCCGCTAATCCAACTGGTCATGAACGTTACGCGAAGTGTCGCTATGCGCATCAGAGCCGGTTGTTTACGACGACGCAAGAAGGTCTAGACGCCGGGCTCGAATGTCCGAGGTTGCAATATTTTGAGATTTCTCAGAATACGCCTTCAAACAGATGTAACAAAATAGATGTGCAAGATGGTCAGGGCCCAACGCGAAGACTCACGTACGGATAATACGCCGGCAGGTGGCGGATCGTTGTGGTATTCACAAATCCGTCGTAGGCTGTTGATTGACGGTTCTGACAAGGTCACTCATATGTCCTACTATTTCCGATAAAATGCACGAAGCATTTTGACCAGACCAGGAGGTCCTACTGCCATAATCAGCTTGCTACGTTTAGGTTGTGTGTGTATCTTGGTTACTAAATGACCCACTGAAAGACAATCAAGAATGGCGAGGGGTCAAACACGTTTATGCGTGGTGCAGCGAGTCATAGTGCGATGCAGTGCGCTGAAGGTGGAATCTAGCGGGCTGTACCACAGCGTTTTGCGAATAGTACATCGTGAGCAGATGTGAGCTAGTCTTCCACGTCAGCTTCATACTAGCTGACGCGCCTGTCTGCGACGAAAAGAGTCGTCGTAAGTCGAGCACTTGAATCTAACTGGATAGCAATGACGGTGGAGTTCTTAATGACAATTTTGATTGGATGAACGACGGCTGCGCAGAAATGAGAATGCAATTGCTCGTTCGGCAAAACCGATGCCAGCAGCCCAACCGCCACTGCCAGGGAAGCCCACGAGTGGAAACGGCTGGACACAGGTCGTAACACAAGTTCGTTACAGCACCTTCCGCACACAGCGATCTCCCAATAATAACCGTATATTCGGTTTCACGACGCTCGCAACATGTTTAGCGAACTGTGATTGCGGGGGTAGGTGGTTCTGCATTCGCGAACCCTTTCCCTCAACCATTCCCCAGGTACACGCACTCAACAGCACGGCTTCTTGCCACCCTCATTGTTGCCGTTGCTTGCAGCAGCAGGTACAACCGATCGTTTGCTTGTTGTTTCTTGCTACCGAGGGCTTAGCTTGCGTAATTCTATTCCGGAAGGTTACGCAACGTGGCTGCTGGTAGCTCTCCGCAAGCACTCCTCCTTGTCAAACCGTACAGCACGTCTTAAGCGTTTATTTGGAACTATCTTTCGCTCTCTGCGCCAATTCGACCCCCACAACGAGCATCGCCGGCTTTCCAGCACCAGCGGTAACGGTCACCATGCTCGGGCCGGACGTGCCTCATCGGGTGAATTCTGACGGCCACGACGATGGCGGCTTTTCCTTCTTCGTAAGCCCACGTGCACTGTCCTCAGAGGATCCCAGTGTGTCTTAAGTCGATTGTCACATATTGGCCTTGCGATTCCAAGAGTCGCGAAGATTTCGGAGCGTTTCTTTCTCTTATAATTCGCCGGTCTGATGAATTTCCGTTTTCTGCATCTTAATTGCCTTTTCAGGGAGGAGCCAGCACCACCGCCACCGCCAACACCACCACCACCGCAACCAGCACTAAGGTTACTGAACCTACTGCCGTCTCACTCCACCCATTCGCCGCTTTCTCCACCCCCAAACAAACCCTCGCCACGAAACCCAACAGCGCCGCAACCAATAGCACCGCTTCCAACACCACTGCGCCCACCACAACTTCGCACCCTTTTCGACCTCCTGGGAAGAGCCAATCAGGCGCCTCCACGTCATCTCTTCCCTCTCCTCCCATGCTAGCTGCTGCGTCCGTGCCTCTGGAAAGAAGCAGAGAGACAGATGCAGGCGTCGCAAGCACTGGGGGAGCATCAGGTGCTGCTGTCAACGGTGCTACAGCAGGAGCAACAGCAGCAGCAGGAGCAGCAGCTGGTGCAAAAAGACAACCGCGGAAGAAGTTTATTCCGGAGCAGGGATTGAGTCAGATGAGCTGGCGTAAGGCCAGCGCCGCTGCTGCTAATGAGATAGCCCGTACGTCTGTGATGGTGGGTGCGAGTGGGTGAGGGTGGGTGCAAAAAGGCAACCGTGAAAGAAGTTTATTCCGGAGCAGAGCATGAGTCAGATGAGCTGGCGCAAGGCCAGTGCGGCTGCTGCCAATGAGATAGCTCGTACGTGTGTGACGGTGGGTTCGGGTGGGTGAGGATGGGTGCAAGTGGGTGAGGGTGGGTGCAAGGAGGTGACCGGAAGTTTATTCCGGAGCGATGCATGAGTCAGATGAGCTGGCGCAAGGCAAGCGCTGCTGCTGCCAATGATATAGCTCGTACGTGTGTGATGCTGGGTGCAAGTGGGTGGGGGTGCGTGTCAGTGGGTGAGGGTGGGTGCAAGTGGGTGAGGGTGGGTGCAAGCTATTCAGGGTGGCCACGATTGTGTGGAGGGTATTCGCCCTCTTGCTTTCTCCCATCTCCCAGGGTACCGCATGCAGCACAAAAGTGCCATACAGATGAAGAGCTCTCTCTGACCGTGTGCCCAGCTCAGCACTGTTCGCCTCTCCCATTCACCCTCTTGCTCTCTCCCATTCGCCCATCCTTCCTCTCTCCCATTCCCCCTCTTGCTCTCTCCCATCTCCCAGGGTACCGCATGCAGCACCAAGGGGCCATACACATGGCGGAGGTGAAGCGTGTGTGCAGCTCTGCAGCACTGTCCGCTTTCTCTCTCATTCGCCTTCTTGCTCCTTCACATTCCAGGGTACCGCACGCAGCACCAAGGGGCCATACGGATGGCGGAGGCTTCTCTCTCTTACCACACGTGCAGCTCAGCACTGTGTTCACTTTCTCTCCCATCTCCCAGGGTACCGCATGCACCACCAAGGCGCCATACGGATGGCGGAGGTGAGGCGGCACAAGAGGGAGGACGACGTGTGTAGCTCATTACTGCTCTCTTTCTCTCCCATTCCCCAGGCTACCGCATGCAGCACCAAGGAGCTATACGCATGTCAGAGGTGAAGCGGCACAAGAGGGAGGACGATGCTTGGACCGTGGTGCGAGGCAGAGTGTATAACATCACGCCCTACCTCGACTTTCACCCGGGAGGTGAGCTGCTGTACTTGTGTTCTTGGTCACCCTCCTGCTGCTGCTATGGTGCGAGGCAGAGTGTATAACATCACGCCCTACCTCGACTTTCACCCGGGAGGTGAGTCGATGCTGCCATCTCTCTTCCCCCCGCCCTCCCCCCTTTTTTTTCCTCATACTAAATAAGTGACTACGACACGGCCTCTGTCTCCATGTGTAACTTTCCCCATCCTCTCCCCTCTCCCCCTTCCCCTCATGCTGTGACTGCAGGCAAGGCGATTCTAATGAAGGGCGCTGGCAAGGACTGCACGGCACTCTTCAGTACGTTCACTCACCACCACCCGCTCGTCCTCCCCCCCATCTTTCTCTCGTTTCCCCTCTTATCTCCTTCCATCCTTTGTTCCTTACTCAGCTTCTAGCATCCAAATCTTGTCCTCCCCCTTTCCAGCACTCACGCCACACTTCCATTTCTGTACTGTACTTGTAGCCTCGTCCTCTGTCACCTTTCTGCGTAACTTCCTAGAGCCTCGCACCACAAATATGATCAGAGGGCGACGCCTTACAGAAACTTGCGACAAAATCCTGATCAGTTGCCACTCTCCTTGAACCCCACTCTCCCCTCCCACCCTCCCCTAACCAGACAAGTACCATGCATGGGTGAACGCGGAGGTCCTATTGGACAAATGGCCCCACCAAGCCCCTCCCCACTCTCGTCCAACCAGCCTCACTCTCTCCTCTCCCTTCATCCCTTCCGCTATTCTTAACCAGACAAGTACCATGCGTGGGTGAATGCGGAGTTCCTATTGGACCAGTGCTCCCACCAAGCGCCTCCCCTCTCTCGTCCAACCATCCTCACTCCCTCCCCTCCCCTCATCCCTCCTGCTATTCTTAACCAGACAAGTACCATGCATGGGTGAACGCGGAGTTCCTATTGGATCAGTGCTTCCTGGGCATGCTTATTCCCACGACTCATGCTGAGGGAGGGGCGATGAACCAAGTGCCTCTCCTTTCTCCTCTACTGCCCTCCCTCCCACAAACCCCCCACCAGACAAGTACCATGCGTGGGTTAACGCGGAGTTCCTATTGGACCAGTGCTTTCTGGGCATGCTCATTCCCGACGACTCATGCTGAGGGAGGGGTAATGAACCAAGTGCCTCTCGTTTCTCCTTCACTGCCCCCCCTCGCACAAACCCCCCACCAGACAAGTACCATGCGTGGGTGAACGCGGAGTTCCTATTGGACCAGTGCTTTCTGGGCATGCTTATTCCCGATGACTGATGCTGGGGATGATGCCTGCTCAACCCAATGTGCTACTTATTGAAGCTGACTTAACCATGAATGGGCTGAGATGAGATGACTAAGGAAGGCCTACCAGTGTTACAAGCATGCGCATTCCCAATGACTGGGACTGAGAGGGGGACACTTAAGCAAGCTTGCTTGCTCTATTCATTGTACCAATTGCTCCTGAAGATGACCTGACCACACGTATGTGATGAGATGATGAGATGACAAAGGGATGGCCTGTGCTTTCTTTTTACCGCATGACTTGTGATGGGATCGGCTCGGCAGTTATACGGTAACTATATTATTGCGTCTGATGTGGTGGGTGGGTGGGTGACACTTCATCCATGAACGACTTGGGAGTAACAACCGCTGCAATTCAGTGCAACAGAGAGCGACGGTGTTCGGCTGGTGGTTGAATCTTGGGATTGAAAGTCAAAGTATACAGAACCATGTTTCTTGTCAGTTCCAGGAAAACGGATTACACCCTGGCTACTATACTACCGTATGTTGTGCTCCATAAGGGCTGGTTGGAAATCACATGGGAGATAGATCCATTGCTAACAGGCCTCACAACACAAGTCTCCCAATTGCAGAGTCGATTTTCTGTTGGTGAATAACAAGCACAGCTAGTCAGAAGTGATGGCGTGTGATGCGAAGCCCGCCAAGGGGACACCTAGTTATGACATAGCTCCTGCTGTTGATACACGAAAATCACATGAATACCGTGTAATAAAATGTAGCACTTGTGACGACGAAGGTCCACTCTTCTTATGTAAGGTGGCTGGGAGGGTGGCTGGGAGGGTGGCTGGGAGGGTGGCTGGGAGGGTGGCTGGGAGGGTGGCTGGGAGGGTGGCTTTGCGGGTGGCTGGCTGGGATGTGGTGAGCAGAATTAGATGTGGCAACAGTAACTCCCCCTGCAGTGGCAGTCCCAGAAGGGACAGCAGGGGCAGCAGGCACAGCAAGAGCAGCAGGAGTACTAGCTACAGCGGCCACTGCAGGAGGGGCACCAGCACCATTCCCAGTGAATGAGAATCCCCTAGCTGCCTCTGCTTCATGTGAGGCTTCGTGAGGTGAGTCACAGAAACCAAGGCCACCGAATGTGTCCGCTGCGGGAGATGGTGCGTATAGTGGGGGGGTTGATTGTGCAGGCAACACCTGAGGAACCTGAGCAGCATTCCCAGTGACAGAGAGTCCACTAGCTGCCTCTGCTGCAGCAGGTGAAGCTCCGAGAGTCGTGTCAGTCAAACCAAGGCCACCAAATGTGTCCGCTGCAGGAGATGGTGCGAGTAGTGGGGGGATTGATTGTGCAGGCAACACCTGAGGAACCTGAGCAGCATTCCCAGTGACAGAGAGTCCACTAGCTGCCTCTGCTGCAGCAGGTGAAGCTCCGAGAGTCGTGTCAGTCAAACCAAGGCCACCGAATGTGTCCGCTGCAGGAGATGGTGCGAATAGTGGGGGGATTGATTGTGCAGGCAACACCTGGGGAATTGCGACTGAAGGGAGCGGCTGGGAATGCGTGACTGAAGGGAGGGGCTGAATCTGTGTGGGAGAAGGGAGCAGCTGAATTTGTGTGGGTGAAGGGATGGGCTGAGTCGGTGTGACTGTAGGGAGAGGCCTAGTCTGTGTGGGTGAAAGGATGGGCAGCGCATGTGTGACTGTAGAGAGAGGCGGAGTCTGTGTGAGTGCAGACGGTGCAGAGCCAAGTGGCATCCCTGCCCCTGGCAGCACGGTTGACCGCAGAGGAAGGGGCAGGTGAATGGGCAGGTGAAGGGGCAGGTGAAGGGGCAGGTTAAGGGGCAGGGCAGAGCCTGAGCCTTGCAGGTATGGTGCAGTTGACCTGAAAGTCCGGGCTGCAGGCATGGCAGGGTGATTCTGAGCACTCTGAGAGCTATGAGAAGCGCCCTGCCCTGCAGACGGCATGGAGTGAGAAGCTGCAGACGATGCACTTACTTGAGGCCTTAGAACAGAGGGGCACACGTGGGTTGAATTGGAGTCGGCGAGACTTGGAGGTTGGGTCAGGCCCAGCTGCTGCTGCTGCTGTTGGGTGGGAGTGGTGGTGGTGCTAGGGATGGGGCTGGGAGTGGTAGTAGGAGTGGTGGTGGGAGATTTGGCAGCAGGAGCAGGTGAAGAAGAGACAGTGGGGTTTGGTGCCCATGATGGGGGGTTGAGGGGAGGAGGGGGTTGGATCAGGCTCAGCTGCTGCTGCTGTGGAGTGAGAGTAGTGGTGGTGCTGGAAGTGGTGGTGGGATTGATGGCAGGAAGCACAAGTGCTCTGAGAGGGAGTGAGGGAGGGCGAGAGGTTTGATATGAGTGAGCCTGTTGCAAAGGGACGGATGGGGGAAAGGGAGAAGCGCAGGTCGTGATGGTGGGAGAAGAAGAGAAGGGGAGGGAAAGGGGAGGGGAAGAGGAGAGGAGGGAGGAGGGTTGAGGGGGAAGAGGGAGGGAGGTGATGGAGGGTTGGTGACGCATGAGGGGAGGTGGGACTGGAAGGTGGGGTGATGCGGTGGGAGCAGCGCAGGGATTGACTGGGGTAGGATTGACTGGAATCGCATTGACTGGGGTTGGGTTGACTTGGGTAGGTCTGACTGGGGTAGGGTTGACTGGGGTAGGGTTGACTGGGGTAGGGTTGACTGGGGTAGGGTTGACTGGGGTAGGGTTGACTGGGGTAGGGTTGACTGGTGCAGGGTTGACTGGTGCAGGGTTGACTGGTGCAGGGTTGACTGGTGCAGGGTTGACTGGTGCAGGGTTGACTGGTGCAGGTTTCAGTGCGGCAGGGTTGACTGGTGCAGGCGCATTTAGTGGAGGAGTGCGCTTGTGAGGCTGAGATGGGGATAGAGATGGATTGAACGAGGAGAGCGGCTGATGGGACTGCAACGGGGAGAGTGTTGCTGCTGCTTGCTGCTGATAGCCATGAGCTGGGTTGGTAGCAGCAAGAGCAGGGTTGATGGCAGCAGGGGCAGGGTTGACTGGCGCAGGAGCATTGAGGGAAGGAATGGGCGTGCGAGGCTGTGATGGGGGGAGGGCCGGGTTGAACAAGGAGGGCTGTTGAGGAGAGTGCAACGTGAAGAGTGCTGCTGCTGCCTGCTGCCGATGGGCACTGGCAGGGCTGGCAGCAGCAAGAGCAGGAGCGGCAGCAGCAGCAGCAGGCCTTGCATCAGGTGTAGTAGCAACAGCAGGGGGAGCAGGAGGGGCAACAAAAGCTGAGGCAACAGAAGGTTTAGCAGCCAAAACAGGGGTAGCAGCAGGAGGAGCAGCAAAAGCAGGGGCGGCAGAAGGTTTAGCAGCCAAATCAGGGGTAGCAGCAGGAGGAGCAGCAAAAGCAGGAGCAGCAGAAGGTTTAGTAGCCAAAGCAGGGGTAGCAGCAGTAGTAGCAGCAGTAGCAGCAGTAGCAGCACTAGCAGCAGCACGAGGAGCAGCAAGAGGAGCAGCAAGAGGAGCAGCAAGAGGAGCAGCAAGAGGAGCAGCAAGAGGAGCAGCAGTAGCAGCAGCAGTAGCAGCAGCAGTAGCAGCAGCAGTAGCAGGAGGGGCACGAGCAGGGACGGGCAAAGCAGCAGCAGCAGCAGCAGCGGCAGCAGCAGCAGGTGCAGGGGCATCTATAGCAGCCAGAGCCAACATCTTCTGTTGCAGCCTCACACTCACTCGGGTCCCTGCCACCCCTGCTACCCCTCCTCCCCCTCCTCCCCCTGCTCCCCCTGCCTCCCCTTCTCCTCCTGCACCCTCTGCTACCCCTGCTCCGCCTGCTCCTACTGATTCACCCGAGCGTGGGTGAGGCAAATGCATGCTGCTTAGTGACGGGGCAGCAGCAGAGCGCGGGGATGTGTCAGTAGCAGCAAGTTGGATTGGCGTTGCAGCAGCAGCAGCAGCCACAGCGGAAGGAGTGGTGGCAGCAGCAGGAAGGGGGATAGGCGTGGTGGCAGTAACAGCAAGCAGGTTGCTGAGTCTGGTGGTGGGGCGAGTGGCGAGGCGAGAGCGAGTGTGGGAGGGGTGACGGGGTACTGGAGGGGTAGGTGCAGCAGCGGCAGCAGTAGATGCAGTAGATGCATTAGAAGTAGCAGCAGGGGCAGCAGCGACAGCAGGAGCACCAGCAGGGGCAAGAGAAGCAGTAGCAGGGATACTCAGCCGACGCACAGGTTCAAGGGCAGATGTAGTGGCGGCAACGGGAGAAGCAGCAGCAGAAGGAAAAGCAGCAGCAAAAGAAGCAGCAGCAGCAGCAGCAGCAGAAACAGAGAGAGCAGCGACCGAGGGAGGAGCGACCGAGGGAGCAGCCACAGAAGGAGCAGCTGGTGCAGGAGCAGCAGCAACAGCCGCTGCCTTGCCCATCAGCACCATACTCTCTTGCAGTGCGTGCAGGGAGGACAGAGGGGCGGAGGGAGGAAGAGAGAGCAGCGATGAAGCACCAACCGGAGTGGAGGAAGGAGGAGGACGAGGAGACAGAAGGGGAGCAGATTGGGAGGTGTGGACGCGTGCAGGAAGCAAGGAAGCTGGAAGGGCAGCAGGCGAGGAGAAGAAGGCTTGAGCCAAAGACAAGGTCTCTGCGATAGCTGGTAGGGGGTTGGGTGGGGTGGGGTAGGAGGGTGAGAATGGAGGGGAGGGGCTGAGTTTTGAAACGTCTTAAGAGGAGTAGGCGAGGAGAAGAAGGCTTGAGCCCGAGACAAGGTGTCTGCGATAGCTGGAAGGGGGGGTAGGGTGGGGTAGGAGGGTGAGAAAGAAAGGGTTAGGTTTTGAGACGTCTCGAAGCAGGGTAGACGAGGAGAAGAAGGTTTGAGCCAGAGACAAGGTCTCTGCAATGCTGGAAGGGAGAAGGGTGGGGGCAGCAGGTCGGTGAGGAAGGAGGGGATTGTGAGACATGAAGGAGAGAGCGAGGAAAGGGAGACACGTGTGGGGTGGGGGCAGCAGGTCGGTGAGGAAGGAGGGGATTGTGAGACATGAAGGAGAGAGCGAGGAAAGGGAGACACGTGTGGGGCAGCAAGCTCATGGAGCAGGGAAGAGTTCTTTTTAGAATGGAGCTCATGGAGCAGGGAAGAGTTCTTTTTAGAATGGAGCTCATGGAGCAGGGAAGAGTTCTTTTTAGAATGGAGCTCATGGAGCAGGGAGGAAGAGTTCTTTTTAGAATGTATCGAATGTGTTCCAGGATGGTTCAGAGGGAGGACTGAAAGAGCAAAGGGCGGGGCAGAGAGGTCTTACCCAGGGGAAGCGCCTTCTGGAGGAGAATTGCCTCAGCAGCCAGCAGGCGCACGGGCGTGTATGGCTGCAGCGCATGTTAAGAGACAGAGGTCAAGAGCAAAGGGCACGGCAGGGAGGACTTACCCAGGGGAAGCGCCTTCTGGAGGAGAATTGCCTCAGCAGCCAGCAGGCGCACGGGCGTGTATGGGTGCAGCAGCAGTGCATGCTGTGAGCGCAGCTCCTCCCTTTCAGGAGCAGTGACAAGGGCGTCAGCAGGCAGCCAGTCGGCCTCTGCAGGAAACAGATCCACCTCCCCCCTGCCTTCCCCTGTGCGTGCTGCTGCTTCATTTGCTGCACCCGTCCCCCTAGCCGTCCCCCCACCCGTCCCCACTGCACCTTCTGCAGCCTGTGGAGGAAACAGGTCCACCTCCTCCCCCCGGCCTTCCCCTGTGCTCGCGATTGCATGCACGGAACCTTTGGTGTCCATCCCCTCGCTGCCCAATACTTGTCTCTCGTTTTCCCTCCCATGCTGCTCCGTCACTGCCTCACAGGTCTCGTTTAGAGGCGCCTCAGAAGTCCCCTCACTACCGACCCCCTGTCTCCCTGCGTCCCTCCCATGCTGCTCCTCCCCCGCCTCACAGAGCGCCCTGTCACAACCCGTGGCTGTGCTGCTGGCAATGCCACCACCCATGCCTGCCCCTTCCATGCCTGCCTGCCTGCCATCGCCCCCACATGGAGCATGCATGGCAGCAGCACCCTCTGTCCCCCCTGCAGCATCCGCTACATTCACAGCAACATCTGCCATCTGCCTATTTTCCCTCTCCATGCTTATGCCCAAACCCTCTTCTGCCCTTTCTTCTCCTTCTGCCCCTTCCGCCCCTTGTGCACCTTCTGTGCCTTTTGTATCGTCTATGCCCACTGTCTCAACTTCAGCAGCTTCTGGCGCTGCAGCAGCTGCTGTTGCAGGTTCCTCCTTCGCCTCCACACCCCTGCCTCTGCTGCACCCAACACTCTTCTCGCCCCCCTGGCCCCTCTCCTCCCCTGCTGTCCGCTCCTCCTCTTTCATCTCCGTCTGCGCCTCCGTCCTCCCTCCTTCCCATGCCATGTGCGTCCTCTCACTATCCATGCCTATGCCCCCTGCCGTACTCCCATACATGCCACCCTTTCCATCCATACCATGCATGCCATGCATGCCATATACACCACCATTGATACCCTTACCACCTTCCACTTCCACCCCTCCTTGCGCACTCTCCAATTCACTCGCACCCTCTACCAACCCTTCCTCCCTTCCCTCTCCTTTGACAAAACTTGTGCCCACAACTCGTTCCACCACCATTCTATCCCCCATATAAGCCTCTCCAACTGCGCCTACCAGGCCGGCTGTAGCAGCTGTTTCCCGCTCTCCCATCCCTCCCTCCTGCCCTCTTATCTCCGTACCCTCATCAGCCATGCTTCGCTGCTGCATTTGATCATTGTGCTGCTCTGTCCCATTCGGCCAACGGTGCCGCCCCCCGTGCTGCTCTGTCGCAGGGGAATTACCCGCACCAGCAGCAGCATTTTCTCTGGCAATATTAGCACCGGCAGCAGCATTAGCTCCGGCAGCAGTAGCACCAGGCACAGCAGCGATATCAGCTACCCAACCAGCACCCTCCGCTCCCCCCCTCTCTGCAACTCCTCCCTCTTCCTTCAACACTCCCTCCTCCTTGGCCCCTCGCAACCCAGGTGGTGTTCCTGCTCCTGCTGCTGTTGCTGGTAATGCTGCTGGCGAAGCTGCTGCTGTTGCTACTGCTTCTGCTGCAGACGGCAATTTTTCTATCGCTGGTGCTGGTGGTGCGGACACGGGTGGTGGCACCGGTTGAATCTCCGTTGTTAGAATCCCTGCCGCTGCTGCCATCATAATTT